TTCTCGAGATATTCGACCGTTTCCACACTTTTCGGACACCCTGTATATATATATATATATATATATATATATATCTACAAATCGATATTCTTTTTGATTGATCAATAGACATTTTTTCCTTCTATTATTACCTGTGTACAGTCAACAACTAAAAGTGAAACACTTTTCTTATGGGTTTTGAAATAGTGTTGCAACCTTTTAGTTGCTGGCTGTACATTCATACACTTATTTCAGTTTATACTGAGGAGATTATGCCGAAAAATGTCCCATTTTATATGCTGTCCAATAAGGCCAAAAGAAAGAGGATTGAAAATGAGGAGTGCAATTCAACGGATTCTTCAATTAACAATGCCATTGATAGACATATTATTGAGCTATCTCATTCCTCTGACTATTCACATTCAGAAGAGTTTCTATGTAACGAATCTGAATATTCTGAATTTTCTGAACAATCTGAACTTTCAGAACATTCTGAACTTTCTGAACATTCAGAATTTTCTCATTTCAAATATTATGGTAATGATGATTATGAGGATGATGCTTTACCGTACATGAAAATATCAATCCTGATGACCTTCCTCAAGATCCGCAATTGCCATTTAATTCTTCAAGCTCTTCTCAGTCTAGTGAAAATTCAATTTCTTCGAAATTCATGATTCTAAAATTTCTTCGTGGTTGGGCTTTAAAGCACAACATAACACATGCAGCAATTTCTGATTTGTTAGTAGGTCTGAAAGAGAATGACCAGTGTTTTGCCGATGATCAATCAGAACCCAAATTTCCTATAAGAGAGAGTGCACGAACATTACTTAAGACGTAAGTAAAAATGAAAAAGACAGTCGTCGAACCATGTTATTATATATAGTACATATCGGATTGAAGAAACAATTATTGAAAATTGCTCGTAAATATTTAAAAAATGTGTCCATTTTTAAATTATTGATTAACATTGACGGATTACCTTTATTTAAAAGTTCATCTGCTCAAGTATATCCCATTTTATGCATCGTAGTATCCATACCTGAACTACGTAAGAAAGTTTTTCCCACAGGCATATATGGGTTAGGTATGGGTGGTACCCAGTTGGACACGGCTCAATTGGACACGAGTCACTCACAGCGCTTGAGACTACAAAGCTCCTAAGCACCGGTCGCTGTGATTGGTGGTGTCCAATCGAGCCGTGGTCAATCGGGATCACCCCGGCATATATTATGGCAAAGAGAAACCTGATAATTTAAATAATTATTTGCAGGATTTTATTGAAGAAATTAATAATCTTATGGCGCATGGCTTCCATTTTGAGGATCACACTATATTTTTGGACGGTACATATTTTGTTTGTGATGCACCAGCAAAGAGTTATGTAATGGGAACGGTATCGTACACAGGTTTCAGTTCTTGTATTAGGTGCACTGTTCGCGGTGTCACCTCTTACAATCGACGAATATTCGTTGATTTAGAAAGTCCTGCTCGCACTTGTGAGGATTTTTTAGAAGGAATGGAGATGGTGATTTTCATCGTCGAGCCACTCCATTGATCAATATTATAGTTTAGATTTTGTGCATCATTTCATTCTCGATTATTTACGTTTACAATGCCTTGATGTAATGCGTACGATGATATTGAATATGTGGTATAAGGGACCAATTCCTCATAGACTTTCTGCTACTCAGATCGAAATGCTGTCGAACCATCTTGTTGAACTTCAATGCCAATTTCCTGTAGAATTCGTAAGAAAGTGTAGAGAACTGTTCATTCTTTTACAGTGGAAAAGAACAGAATTCAGATTATTCATGCTATATGTAGGCCCAGTTGTGCTAAAAAATATTCTAAGCGAACAAAAATTTGTTCACTTTTTAGAATTTCATTGTGCGATGAGAATTTTATTAATCCGAATCTGTGCAAAGAACGGGAGCTTCGATAATTTGCTAAAGATATTTTAAAACATTTTGTTCAATGGACTGAAATATTGTATGATAAAAATTTTATTACGCATAATTTTCACAATAATATACATATAGCTGACGATGCTGAATATTTTGCTGACAAATTAGTTGATTTTAGTCTGGATACAATATCTGCATTTCCCTTCGAAAATTATATGTAAAGCATAAAACGAAAAGTTAGAGTACGCAACAAGCCACTTGAGCAAATTGGCCGAAGACTTGAAGAAATCATGCGTGTGTGTGTGTGTTGTGTTGTTGTGTGTCATTCGATTCCGAAAATGCAACGGTAAAACCACGAGACCATATATTTCATAAACTTTTTTCTCCGCATAATGCCGGTCCGGTGCTATCAGGTTGCAGGCGCCAATATCGTGATGCTGCTCTCTCTCTATTTAAAATAACAAATAATGCTCCCGATAATTGCTGTGGTACTGCTGACGGTGAAATTATTCAAGTTGCAAATAT